ATGATGATTCAGAGGGTATCCGACGGAGAGTGCGACCCATGCCCTCCCTATTTCGTAATCATTTCAGGGCTCGGGTCAATTGTAATCTAAGTTATAGCTTTTTGAGTTTTTACTGCTGTCTTCGTTTTTAGCAAAGCTTTGTTTTCATTTAATTATATTCAAATATCTTCTGTCGACATCTAACCATATAATTGCTTATTTTTATCAGGTTATTTGAACGCGGTGCTGCATATGTTGGCCTTGACTTCCTTTCCCATTTGTTTTGGGACAAATATATAGAGTTTGAGAAATCAAAGCAGGCATATGATCGGGTTCTAAAAATCTTGGACAGAATTATACGCATTCCAATGCACCAATATGCTAGGTTCTTTGATGAGTATGTTTTATTTGTATATTATTCTTTATTAAAATTATCCTTTGACGTTGCTTAATATTTACTTATTTAATAATCGTCACTGCTTTATATTTACTTATTGAATATAATTTAGATTTACAAATTTGTGTGGAACGCGGCCAATAGCTGAACTCATCACACCAGAACAATATCGACAATTTGAGGAGGAAGCGCGAACTGCTCCTCCCGTTCCACCTGAAGGGACGGAGGGTGAGCAACCCCCTCCTCCTACAGAAAAAGTGCAGTTCTATGTTACTAGCTAATTTTAAACCGCTACATGTTAGATAACGTAATACTAATTTCACTTATTTGATTTTATCTAGACAGAAGAACAGATTCAAAATGATATAAGAACACGGATTTACAATATGAATATTGAGACATATATGAAGACGCAAAATGAAACCAATAAACGTTGGGTTTTTGAGCAGGAGGTAAATCTATTTTCAAGAATATTCAGCAATCCTATATTCTGGCCTATATTCTTGCATTTAAATTAATTTTCCCAATATCCACCACTAAGATTAAGAGACCTTACTTTCATGTAAAAGCTATGGATGATGTTCAGTTGATTAATTGGAGAAGATACCTTGACTTTGAGGAAAGTGAGGGAGATGATACTCGCATTCAAGTGTTATATGAGAGATGTCTCGTAGCTTGTGTAAGTAAATTTCGGAAAATGGCGTTTGATAAATTATATTTTGTATATTCTTATTTAACTAAAAATAATAATAATAATAATTATGGAACAGGCTTTATATGAAGAATTTTGGCAAAGATATGCTCGTTGGATGATATCTAAAAATAGGCTTGATGATGCACGTAATATATATGTAAGGGCTACTTCCGTGTTCATTCCAATCAGGTTAGCATATAAATGATTGTGACTGTAGTAATTTTATCTACGACGCTAATCTTGTATGCTAAGCTTATGTCTAATACGATTTATTACTCCTAGTCGCCCAAGTATTCGCTTGTCATTTGCTTGCTTTGAAGAGCAACAGGGGAATATTGACGAATCCAGGGCTATATATAAAATGGTCTTGGATGCTTGTAGGGATTTGGATTTTTTTCCTTCTATAATTGAAATATACAATATTAAACCTCTTCTTTTAAATACCTCTTAAGTGCCGGGCCATGTTGAGGCAATAATGAAATACGCACATTTTGAAAGACGTCGACATCTTGATGATTTGTCGGTTCCCATTAACATTCTAACATCTTCGCTCCAGGGAAATAATATCGATGAAAAATCTAAAGCTTTCATTATAGTACAACATGCTAATATGCTATGGCGTGTAAGTATAATTGAATTTTTGATGTTCAGAAATTAACAATAATTGATTAAGCTTATCCTAGTTTTGGATATATATTAAAGAATAAAGGTTCAATAGAAGAAGCACGTCAAATTTATCAAGAAAATTCAACTAAATATCTTGATAGCAAATATTTTTGGTTGAACTATTTTAATTTCGAATTATCTCAAATCGGTTAGTAGCGATTATCGTCATTTTATATTTTGTATCAGATTCTCATAATGACTTGTAACACTGCAGGCTCCACAGTAGAAGCTAACTTGAAAGCAGTTTATGATCTGATTCGTAATACATCTACGCTTTTACCGGAAACGATAAGGGATTTTTCACATCGATATCTTGATTTTCTTATGGAACGTGGTTCAACTATAGCTGTATACAATAAGATCGATGTTGAAGCTAATGGCCCCATCACTGTACGTCCGGTTTTGGACACTAAAAAACGTGGCGCTGATGAAGAACCAGAAAAAATTTCAAAGCAGGTCAGAATAGATGGCGTTGTTGATGCTGCTGCGGGAACACCTGTAATTCCAGTTGCACCGTATACTACGACTGCCGGTGTGCAGCCACCGTATTATTCTCAAGGCCAATGGAGTGCATCAGGATATTACCCCACCGCTAATGCTGCTCAGCCGGTTGGTACCAATTAATTTTAAGCGTTCATATTGTTCATATTTAATAATTGAATCAAAATTTAATCTGCTTTTAAGGCATCATATCAGTACCCTTATCAGTATCCTCAACAAACTGCAACTACGCCTACTACTCCCGCACAGGCCCCCGTGACCACATGGGACTACGCACAACCAAGTACTACAGGATATTAATTCTGTGAAGAGAATGAATTTAATTTGTTTTGAGTTTTTTTTTGTTTTTTTTTTTCCTTGTTGATTCTTTTGCTGATCACGTGTTTGAGATGTTTGCTTTAGGAAATTGAAAGGTGACTAGTGACTGTAGTCGACAAATTTTATAAGCTTTAGCTGAATCGATAATTTGATCCGGCTAAGCCGGCTTAGTCGACTATTATATCAAAAAAATTAAATCTGCCAACAACGATAATATTTCAAAATTTTGAACTATAAACTTTAATCCGGAAACTCCAGCTGCCGTGTTCGTATTTTACTTTATGTTGTTTTATTTTACATAAATAATAAAAACGCGTTGTATATCGTTTCCGATGTAAAAAGAAAAAAAAAAACTATAAACATCGCTGCATAACGTTTCGGAAAAGTCGTCATTCCCGAAGTGTAGAGGTCGGATCCTCATAGCTATTCAATGAATCTTCATGAGTCTTATCAGTGCACAAAATTTTCGCATAACTGATTGATGTTTTTTCCGGCGATGTTTTTCTATTAGGCAGAATTTGAACCTTCAGCCGGAGATAGTAATAATTAGAATTGCTTTATTTCGTATGAAATATTTTAGAGGTGATTTGCGAGAAATCAGCATTAGTATCATAATAAAAATTGGGGTTAAGATAGGCTTGGTGCTGAGAAAAAGAACCAATTTTTATATTATAAATTTTCAATTATTATAAAACGCACCTATGGTGGTTTTGCACCTATTATATGTTTTTATTATGGTTTTTAAATTTTTCTAAGTTTTATAAGTTTTGTATATAAAATTTTTAACACCAATTTTTTTATGTTAAAGTTAATATTAAGGTTAGGATTAGGGTTTGGGAAGGGTTTTTGGGGGCGTAGAACATTTTTACTTAGAACACCTCACATAGATTAATTAGCCAGTTGTTGAGATAATATATACATAGGTGTAAAACACCATAGGTGCGTTTTAGTAAAATCCATAAATTTTATAATAAATTATAAGAAAATACAAGCTTTAAAGATTTATATTACAAAATTTTGATAATATTTGTTTCTTAAGTAAAAAAAATGTTTTGGGGGCTAATTTTAAATTGGTTAAAATTTGTCAAAAAGGTATCAATTTGGTTTTCTTTCTTAGCATATAGTCTATATATGTATACTATATATATATTTTTTATAGTAAAATTAAATCAGATATTATAAAATAATAATATTTTTTTTACCAAGTTAATTTTTTTAATTAAAATTATAAAGCTTATTTTTGTGGTTTTAATGATAGTAAAATTGATAAAATTGGTTTTACAATTCTTGAAATATTTTATTTTTTAAATTAATATTAGTTTTTTATTAACAAAAAAATTTTTTTGTAATTAAAGTTAGTTTTTTTGGTTTATTATTTTTTATCAAATACAGTATATTTTTATAATAAATCTAACAATTTCTGATGATCCCCTAGACAATGCAACAAAAAACTAAATTACAGAAAAATGTTATAGAAAGGTTCAAGATATATACTATTCTCAGTTTTGACTTTGAGTAAGTAGTTGTCAACAAAGCTTATAAATGTGAAACACTGAAAAGCAGGTGTAACTAGGGCAGTTTTTCTTGGGGTTAAGCTTTTCTGTTTTTAGTAAACTCTTCAAGATATTTGGTATTCAAATCAGAAGGTTTATTTTGGAAACTAAACTTATCTCTGAATAAGTTGCTGTCAACAAAGCTTGAAAAATATGAAATATTGAGGAGCAGGCATAACTTGAGTGGTTTTTCTTGAGGTCAAGCTTTCTTGTATTGGTAGACTCCTTAGGATATTTAGCATCTAAACTAGAAGGTCTATTCTAGAAGCAAGTAGTGGACCAGCCCTTGCTAAGATAGTATAACCTTGAAGATTTAACTATATAACTGTAAAACCTATAGAAGAATCTTACACATTTTCATTGGTCCCTACTTTTTTTTCAGAAAAATTTTTGTAAAAAAGTGGGCATTTCAGTTTACCACCTCCAAAAAATCAACAAATTGTTTACTTACCAAATCAGGTGATATTGTTTACTTTTTCTTATTTTAACAAACATGTTATATGAATCTGTATATTACCATATATTGCCAAAAATAAGCCACCTCCGATAATAAGCTACCTTCTTTTTTTGGAAGAAAAACATAAAAACGTCTTATA